TACGTTTTTGATACTTTATCATCTTGTTTTATATTAGAATCATTTAATACTCCATATCATTGTTAGTTTATAGTAGTAATGTAAATATTTAGCATACATCTAAGCTAAATACAATAAAATGAAGTCATTATCATACTCATCCCAATTCAAACAAACCTCTGCAGAAAACTCAGAATAAACGTCATTATCTATTTATTAACTGGCGAGTTTATTTAGAAAATTTACTTTTATTGACACTAGACTTCGATGGATACAGCAAGTAGAGCCAAGTAAATATTTCAATCTTTTGAGAAAGCTATCTGAACAAATATTTTGGAATTTTGCCTTCAATTGTGCCCTCAAACGTATTATTTTACTATCATGAATACCTTCTTCGCATTATATTCGATATACCTCATTTTTTTAAAGGCTTAATTTTTTTAATTTAATACAATTTGTAAAATACGAAATATTATTCAATTTTCGACATTTCCAAGGATATTTAACTATACAAAATATCAATGTTTCTTTCAGGTACTGAAAATGAGAAAATTTGTAGAATAGAAAAAAAATCAAATTGTCATAGGTATGACAAATGTAAATTCTATACCACGGCGAATCACCAACAATAGATAAAAGATACATCTAATAAGAGTCAATTAAATTATAATTTAATAATGTGATATTGTGTAAATAAAATAATACATATTATAATTGCCCCTCCGATTTTTTCAAATGCCCCCCGAAGAAAATTGTCTGAAAGAAACACTGCAAAATATTATGGTTGTGCCTAAAATGTCAGTTATTTGTATATTATGTCTTAATTATAGAAACTTATGGTACCTGTTTATATGCAATACCACTTTGTATCATAACCCAGACTCCATAATTCTCCGAAAAAACTTTAACTAAAAATAAATGATTTCTGTTTTCTCCAAACAAAATATACAACACTTTAAGGAACTATGTTTTTTTATTGTTATAGCAAATTACATTTGTGAAAATTTCCAACAATAATATTGATAGAAATTATTATTTTTTACTCTGTTTTTTTTTTCATTGAGAGTTTATTGAAAAGAATCAAAACACTCAAAACACTCTCACCGCAACAAGCAAATCCAAACTTATCCCAGTAATTTATTTACCCTTGTTCAAGTAACAAACAGCTGTGATCTGCTGACATATTGAAAGAAAAATAAACTTTATGTATTAGGTATTTTCACACTCTTATAATAATATTTTGATAAATACATCGGAATACCTACACCTTACATAAAGTAAGAGACACAAAAACTGTTATCTGAAATTGAAGACTTAACAGTGACAAATTCGTCTATTTTTAATAGAAGTGACGTCGCGTGTCACGTTATTTGAGTTTGACGGTAACAGATGCATGTAAAAAAAATAGTAGGTAGACATTCATCTCATAAAGTCGTGTTTTAGAACGGTTGTGTACCGATGGTTGTTTTTGATTCTGTATAATATACCCATTTCTGGTTAAAAACAAGTAATATATAACTTTATTTTTAAAAATATATTTTATCAACCATAAAATAATATGCTATATGTGCGCAATAAGGAAACTAAATAATATAACAAAATAAAGTAGGAACAGGGTTTTTTTTAAACTGAATAATCGAAACAACATCCAGGTTGATGGTACCATCAATATTGTAAATAAAATTGATTTTCAACGTGTGCATAATAATATAGAGTAGATACTTAGGTACATAGTATTCCTTATCAACTATAGCTAGTATGGTTGTCTGCCTGATTTATGTTTAAAATATAAATTTTCAATTTTTAATAAAATCATAATCGTTTAAATGATAGACAACTGAATAAATACTTTTAATTTTAAATTGATCCTACCTTTTAATCATTTTTATCGTAGATGGAACGTTTCACTTTTTTTTTGTTAAACAAAACATACCGAATTATGTTTAGCCATAAAATATAATAAAATACAGAAAACTTTTTGCAATCATAATAAGAATAATTATTTTATCATCTATAACTAATTGCAATCCTATATAATATTATAAATAAAAAAGAATTTGATTTTTATGAGTTGAAACAAAAGCCATGTGTGATAAGTCAATAACCATCCTATAACGACCTTTATCAATTGAAATACGAAGCTACAAACTCTTCCGACTCTCAAGGAATCTTTTGATATAACTTCAAATGAATTATGTCCAGTAGTTTTTGAGACTATAGAGTACAAAGAATCATTAATTTTTGTATACATAGAGAGAATAAATTGTTTTTAATTTAAAATGCCATATTTTATTAAAATACTCGAGTGGTGTCCAAAATAATATGTAATGATATGGTAATAACATGTCGACAGAAACGACAGCAATGGTTTAATATATAAATATTTTATACGAATAAATTTAACAGATTTTCACCGTCAAATTGGCAAATTAACATTAAAAAAAGGCTTAAAAATGTGTAAGTAAAGGTATGTATGTATGTAATAAAGATTTCACTTTGATAAATTTAAAATAAAATAATTTTTTTTAAGAGGTATTTAGCGAAAATAAGAAAAATCAAATCATCGTAGCAGAGCTAAGAAACTAACGAGAGAATAGCTGTACGAATAGTTTTCTATCCTGTTAGGAAAATTGATTTTAGTAAGTGTTTCAACAAAAACGTATTGTCAAAATAAAACAAAAATTATTGGGGTGAAAGGTGTAACCATTGATTCTCACCAGCATTTATTTTCACTCCAATGATGATTAGATACACATTCATCACACTTGAAAGGATTGGAAATAGATAGTAAAAAAATAGCCTTTTAGAACAAAAAAAAAACAGAGGATATTATATTTTGATTTCACGCTCTTCCGCGTAAATTTTTAATGTCCCTCCACTGTTTGCAGTTTATCTACAGTTAGTGTAACTGCCAGTGTAGGTATACGAAAATCGAGCAACAGCGCAATGTTAAACGAACTCGAACTAACATTTTAGTATTCGATTTCCGAGTAAAACACAAAACTAGAATAATACAGACGAATTGAAACGACCAGTGTAGTTGGATGCTTCCATATAACATTCATAAAATACCATCATGTCTGCATCGTACGAATCTTTTCCAAATATTATATTACAGGTTTTTACCGTTAATGCGTCGCCATTGCCTAACCATTGACCAAAATGGTCGAAAATAAAAAGTGGTGAAGTAAACATTTGTAATAATATAGAATACTAGAATATCTAGAAAACTAGACTCAAATTTGACATGTTATGGTACTTGTATAGGTACGTTCTTTTATCGACAAGTAAAAATGGTCAAATGGAAGGTATTTAAAACAAATAAACACCTATTTAAATCTAACGATTTTACGATAAATTGTATTAGTCAATTGACTATAAATAGAAAAAAAAACAATTGTTATGAATTATCCAATCCAAAAGATCTAATAATTTGCCAAAAAAAAAGTATGAATCGAACGACAAAACTATGCATTCATTACTATACCTATTCGGACAAAAAACATCTGCATTTATATTATATTAAATATGACGCGTCTTGCGGTGCTCTAACGACGACAACGAGATTTGATGGATTTGCCCGAGATGCATCATCTTGTGCGGTAATGGATAGCTCCGATACATATTAAATTGTACGAAATAAAAAAACCTAACGAACTTGAACACGTAAGTCTTCCTTAGTTTGTCCGCACATTAACCACACAACACCGCTGCCGACTGGCTAATCAAATATTATTGATTATAATTATTACTGTTTTGGCCGTATATATATGTATACTCGTGAATGAATAATACGCGCACGATGCATGTTTAAACTAAATAATGATTATACCTATAATGAAGATTTTTATCATGTCACGCGTGAAACGAAAACGTACATTTCGGGGAGAATCAAACGCATTTCACATTGTACGATAAACAAAACACACACACACACACACACACAAACGCATATATTTATATAACTATATATAACACATATTAACATAAGTAAATATAATAATATATTATAACCTCGAACGTCTGTATGTGTCTTGACTCTTGAGTAAACCATGAGCGATGCGTATGATGAATGTCTAAATGTACAAATATCATTATCAATCCACACATTATGCATATTATTATATATTATATAGGTACCTATACGTACATGTCCGTCTCGTTATTAGGTAGATATAGTATAATTTTGCGTATAATGTTTGTGTTAATTTATATTTTCAAGTGTATCGAGAATCGAGATAACCGACCCCGCGTTTTGTTTTTATAAATAACAATTACACACAAATGGCGATCAATAAATCTCAAACGTCCGTTTCGTTTTGTTTTTAAGTCCCCGAAGTAAAGATTAATATGTTGTGAATAATGTGACGATATCCTTTTGAATATTTCGTTTAATCGTGACAACATTGATTAGATGTGTATACTGTATAGCATGTTGATACATTAAATAATGTTGAAAATGGTTTGTTGTTTTATTTGACAATTTTTAAATAAAATATTCTTGTTAAATTAATATGTGTTTATTGACTGAAAATTAAATTTAAGAAGTATACGATTGTAATCCGTTCATATACTCAATCTAAATTCGTAGTTTATATCGTTTCAATACCATCGGCTAATTAAAGTATTAAAAAAATTAAATTTAAAAATACGTGCATAATAAATTATTTGAAACAGAATATGTGTTTATTTTCATTTAAAAAATTGAATATTTAACAATGATGAAAAGATAAATTAAGTGTTATCAGTCTTGGTGGAAAAGGATATTAGAAAATACAGAAAAGTTGCTTTTAGCGGAAGTGGAAATGTCAGACGCCAGCTACAACATCTAAAATTACACTTAAGTTTCAAGAGCTTTACACAATATCTTAGACATTTTATGTACCTACTTTAACTCTTAGATATAATTAATATTAATTATTTAAAACTAATAACATTTCAAAAGTAGATAACTGGATCGGTTTTATGTACTTATATAGAATATACATGTATACCGTATACGTTTATTTTATTTTAAGTAATAACAGTTTTAATATAAAATTTGAACGTCCGATTTGTATCAATATTGAATTATATAAATTACTCAATCATATCAAACATAGTTTTGTAACTGGTAATTCGAGCTTGTATATTTTCCTTAGTGCTTTTACAGTTTATATCTAATACTTCCATTTTAACTGGGGATAACGCCATTTGCTAAACAAACAGTGTATTAATGTGGTGTTATCAAGAATGGTAAGTTATCGTATTTCCAAATTGAAGCAGTAAAAAAATATTTTTCTTTAAAAAAATAATAGATTGTTCATTATCATTGGGCTGCTTCTGTTGTATTCAACTTAATTGCAAATACGACTTATTAAATAGGCTGTCTTATGTATGATTTTCTCTGATGTTTACAAGTCCAGAATTTACATTTTAAAAAATGTCACTACCTACAAAAGTGTCAATGTTTAAAATGTAAGACACTATGTTTCCCAGTACAGTTGAATGCCATTTAAAGCTTAAGTAGAGAAATAGATTTAAAACTTTTTTAAACATTCGATCAAGCCAACACAGCACGTAACCTTGACTACTTCGAAATGTCTTGCGAGACTTAGAATGACCTGTTTACACCGACAGCGTAGCTCATTCGTAAGACTTGTACAATGGAAATAAGCAACTCTAATAAAACCAAACCGGAATACAAACATGTGAGTAATATTATATATTATAATCACATCAAATTAAATTTATTTTTATTTTTTTTAATTTAACATTAAATAATTTATTTTATTTTATAGGCTCTTGAATTTGCTACGGATCCGCCTCTCACAGAAGCGCTCGCTCATCTGTGGGCGGCTGTTCAGAAACTCGGTGAAGAATCTGTAAAATGTATAGAGGAAAAAAAATCGTTAACGAGCGTGATGGACAATTACAGGCAATTAATGCCAGAAATCAAACAATCTATTTTATTGGAGCAAAACACAGTGGAAAATCTAAAAGAAGTTAAAATGAATTTTTTGCAATACGCAAATGATTGTGTAATTAATTTATAATCATTAAACATTTTATACTTTTGTAGGAATTAAGCTCTGCGCATCGTATGTTGGACGCTTCTAATCTTCGAGAACAAATAATTCAAGAATCCAACGATAATTTACTGGCACAAATAAAGACCTTAAAAACCGAACTGGATTCCAAAACTAAACAAATGGAAGAGGAAAGCTTGTAAGTTTAGTTTGTACATTTTTGTTTCATTTGTACAATTCTATTATACATTTGGGCAGGTTTTCTTCTATGGGTCAAGGTGATACGAGCCAATTAGAGTTGACTAGAACAAAGCGAGAACTGACTAAAATAGACATGGAGAACAAGCGTCTAGATAATCTCTGTGAGTCGTTGAAAAAAGAGCTAGACAGTGCCGAGTATAATGTCAGAGATCTGGAAGCCGATTTAGCTGTAAGTGACAGTAAACAGTATATATATATCTACATTAATTGGTTCGCAATTAATTATTTCGTATATTATTTTTAAGGCTCAAAGTAACAATCTAGTGAAAGAAATAAAAACAAAAGAAAAATTAGAGGACCGAATAAAAACTGACAGTGATCAAATGGAAAAAATAAAAACTGAACTTGGTACCATCAAGAATAATTTCAAAAAGGCTGAATCCAATATAGAAAAACTTAACGAAACATTAAAAGACCTAAAAGTAATCTAAAATAAAAAGCTGTTTTCATTAAATTTACATTACCTATGTATACATTTTGTCTTTAGATCACAAATAACAACTTAAACACAAAAAATACGTCGTACGATAAACAAATAAAGAAATTAACTAGAGAATTAAAAATTAAAACTGAACTGAGGGCCGAGAGCGTTAAAGAAATAAATAGACTTCAAGATAAAATAAATGTATGCTAATATTGTCATTAATCCAATAAACCTCGTACAATATTTTTCTTTAACTGTTTGATTTACACTTTGTTTTGATTTTCAATCAACATTAGTATCAAGAAAATGAATTATTAAGAGTTCAATCCGAACTAACACGTTTGATTGCTACTCATGAAACATCAGTCAGAAAGCGACAAGAAGTCGTGGAGGAGGTTGAAAAAATTTCTGAGGAAAAAAAAAACTCTGAAAATGATGTTGCTACTTTGGAACGTAACTTAAATGCATTACAAGAAGATAATATCAAACTTAAAAAAGTATTGGAATTAACAGAAAGAGAAAAGAAATTGCTAGAAAAAAATATGACAAAAGTTAATGGTAAATAATTATTCGATACAAGTGTATTATTTTACTGTAACGATTTTTTTTTTAGAACAAATAAACGCATACATCGAAAAAATGAATATAAAAGAGTCAGCATTTCGAGTTTTAGAACTAGAATTTAGCAACGCACAAAAATATATTGATAAATTAAATTTAGATATAATTACAATGAAAAAAAATAAAGAAAAGTATCTAATAGCTTATATTTGTTATCATAATATTTTTGATTTTATAAAATACTTACATCATGTTCATTGAACAGGTTACACCATGAAATAATAAATTTGAAGCACAAAATTCACGAAGATTCGGTGACATTAAATCACAAAGAAGTGGAAGTACAAGAATTAAAAAAAGAGGTAAACAAATGGAGTGACAAGTTTAAAGAGCAAGATCACGACCTACACACTATAAAAACTGAAAGAAATCTGTTTTCTAAAAATCTCACTGAAGCTAAGGTCTGTACTTGCATAAATGGAGTATTAATTCATTATTAATTTTATTTGTCTTCAGGATGAAATGGAAGACATAAAAAACAAAATAAAAATGATTTCACAGCAACTCGAACAACAAAAGGAATACGTCGCGTACAAAGAAGTGCAATTGACGAAAAACGATACAGGTAAATCTACGTTGGCTTATGAGTACACTACTAAACTGTATTCACTATGGATCATCCTCTATAACTTGTCTCACAGTATTAAAACAAACCGAAAAGGAACTTCAGAAATGTCAACAAGAAATCGACGAGTACGAGACCCGAGTGGAAGGAATGTCAAATGTATTAAAGAAGAAAAATGAAGACGAAAAGTCGATGATAATGACATTGAAATTATTACAGAAAAAAATAGAAAAACTTCAGAAACAGAATGATGAAGTAGGTGAAATGGTTTTTTTTTTATTTGGCTCGAATGACAGAAACTCATTGAAATTATAAATAAGCACATTGTTTTCGATGCATTAACCTTGATGATACATTTTCACGTAGTTAAAGTTTACATTTTACACAGGGTAACAAAGACAAAAACAAACTCATAAATCAAATGAATAAACGCAACGAGGAGCTATTAAAACAGAAAGATGCTAATGACATATTAAGAACAACATTAGGCAAGGGTGAAGTGGAATATAATAAAAGGATTGACGATATTAGATTGCTGAAATCGGAAGTAAAGAGTTTGAGGTAATAGTATTTTATCCGATTAAATAACGAGTATTTAATCAAAACACACCAATGCCACGAATTAACGCCAAGCTTTATAACTGTTCAGTGTCAAAATTAAATTATACGGTTATTAAATTGGACGCATGCAAAGTTGCAATAAAAAATATACAAAAAAATAGGAACTGTGTGACAATATTATGGTTGTTGGCACAGCCAGCACAAATATTTAACATTTTAACGCACAACTTGAATGTATTACAAATTCAGATTATTTAAAAAAAAAAGTTACGTTCATAGTTATCATAATATTATCGTTTTGAATTAGTTTGAAAAACGTTCATTTGTAGGTTCACTTTAACAAAACGAAACAATTTATCGAATTACATTAACACCTACCATAATTAATAAGTCGTATAATTATTCGATTGATAACTATTATTTATTTTTTTATTATTGATATAAATATTACCTAAACCGGCATCTATTGTCATTAGGTTTAAAGTTTTATTCACACAGTTTATAGTATTCTATTATTTACAATGAGCGTATACCTACTTTACTTATAAGCTGTATAATTGTATTCCTATTGAAGTTAATGATGTGATATTTGATATTATAGTAAGTCTGGTTATAGTAATTCTCTTCTCTTTTCTGGTATGTGTCATATGACTTATTTATTGATTGTATTGCTTATTATTATAAAGACCAAACATACTCGTATTTTCCCAAGTACAAATTATTAAATTAATGAAATTTGAGTGATGGAATATGAAATTAACAATGGATACCTGAATAAATAAATTATTCAACAAATTATATAATATATTATGTACCTATTAAATATATACGAATTATAAGCATAAAACAAATATTTTAATAAAAAAAAAAATTTTAAACACAAAAAATTGGTAGCATCACACCAGTAATTAAAAATAAAACATTTTATTTATACCGCATTCATACATTAAATACTATGCAAATAATACTTCCCAACCCAACCAATGGGACAGCAGCTGCCAATAAATAAAAATAATATTACTTTTCTTTTAATAAAACGAATTACCTAACCCTAAAATCAATAACTGTTTGGTCATTTTTAAACTTTTAGATACTATTTTAATTATTTACTTGAATTTAATTGTTTATAGCACGTTATTTAAATTTATTAACAAAGCTTTAATTGATGACGTATTTCGATAAACAAATAATTTTCAAAAAAAATAAGTTCCGTAATTATTTAAATTGTTTTTCTCAGTTATCTAAGCCCATATAAAAATTATTGCAACCTGTTACAATAATCACAGTTTGCGAGAACTATATTGAACAAAAATTGTGCTTAATACTTGAAATAAAATCGATTAATTGATTAAATTGTTACTCTATTAGTACTTTTGTTTTAGATTCTAATCAGTATTGGACCGTTGGTAATATATTTCTGTTTATTGTTTTCACATATTTTCTTTTCGAAAAATACATTTTTAAATAAGAAGATTCGGTAAATGTATGAACTCGTTATAAAAGCAATTTATTTGATTTATTTGATTACTATAGGTAAATAAAAAATATTAAAACTACCAATTTACGATTTTCATCGATTGCAGTATTATAACCCTATTATAAATTTGGAATAAACTCAGCGGCTTAATTTGGGATTAACATCTTTTTTGAGTGTTAATCACCGCAGTATATTTTTTTCTCACTCTGCTTTTAGATTATAACATAATGATGCGGTGGAGCAGTTAATATAATTTTTATAACGTGTTTCATGTTTCTGACATCGGTTTGTGTAACCTCATAAATCAATTGGAATTTTAACAGAGATTTCCAGCAGTTTCATAAGACGCATTAAAAAATCGATAAAAAATGTACATTTTTATCGAAATCGTGACCGTTATTACTTATTAGAAACGCGACTCTCCTCATAATCGTTTTTTATCGAATAAAATATAATTGTCTGTTCTGAATAGTAATACAAGACTTTTCAGGACACCAAACTTTTTGTTTACAAGATTTTTAAAGGATTTTTTTCTTCACATTCTTAGACATTACGATGAAAATAATAATTTTATTTCATCGTAAAAATATAAACGATTGGATCTATAAACAAAATTATTATAATTATACAATAAGTAACTAGGCACATAATAATTCATATTATCCACTCGATGTTTCAATTCTAGAGTGCACGATAAATTAATTTTACTAATAAGCCAACACAGTTAAACAAACGCAATTTAATACAGTACTATTGTCTATTACAGTATAGCACTGTGCGCATGGTAGATAAAAGATATAAAGTAATTTATAAAACTGTTATTTTACTAAACATTGAAAAATAACTGTATATATATAAATGCTTTGTGGATATGTATATATATTGTTATTCATGAGTGTGTAAAAATGAAAGTCTATACACCAAATACGTATCTAAACTACCTATTTTATTGCTTTTTAGCGTTCAGAAAAACTTGTTGATGAAAAACCTATCAGAAATAGATGACATAAGAGTCGAAGTACTTAAATATGAGCAAAAACTGAACCGAGAACGTTTGAAATGCCGGGCTCTAGAAGACATGTTAATCAAACCCACAAACGTACACCGTTGGAGAATATTAAAAGTAATATTATATTACGAGTATAACGTACCAGTGACATTTCTTAAACCATTGATGAGTAGATCTCCTCCCCTCCATCTTGATAATTAGAAATTGTTTTTTTTTTTTATAATATTATCAATAAATTAATAAAACCAAAATTTTCCAATAAAAAAATGGTTAAAAAGTATGCTATGCATTAGATGTCGTGTGGGTAATGGATGTGTCAAATTTGAATTAAATGATATAATTCATTGTACCTATATATCAAAAACGATTCTGAGTTAAGACTGCCTGTGAACCTATTTAACTTTTAATTTTTATCATCCCCGACGCAGAAACTACTGGGAATTTTAAATTTCACTTTTTAACATATCAAATGCGCCGACTAGATTCAATGCGCAACCAGAAACCACTCCCAAAGTTGAACATGGAATCATTTTTGTGACAACTTTTCGTGAATACGGAGAAACAAAATAAAATTTTTAAAAACCAGATGTTCATAAAATCGATAAATTTATCACTCCTATCAGAATTTTAGAGAAAAATGTATATAAGTAGTTAATTAATGTAAGGCGTGGAGCGGAAGTTTTTTGTATCCTGATACGTCGAATTAAAAAAAAAACGAATCTCCACCTATTTTTTGAGCTTCAGATATGACAATGCCCCTACCGTTTGATACATTTACCCCAAGAATATGAGCCGTAAAATATAATTCTTGCTCACACTTTGGAAACCGATAGGCGAAATTATGGACAATACTGCAGCTAAATTATCATAATATGGTGAGGATCGATGAATTTTGATTTCTGCACAGGCTCGTGTTCTCTCGACACAGGACGTCCTGAATAAAACGAGATTTAGATTATAATAAGTGTTTATTTCATATAACTATTATCGATTTATATTGTAAATCTATTTGTGACAATTTCGTTACGTCACCAAAATACTACACAATACAAAATGGCGCTAAAATATTATACCTATATCGGTTACAACTATACACACTCGTCATAACCTGCTGTGACTAGGGTGACAAAACATTATTTCAAAACGCCTGTGCTCGCAGACACGGAAATGTATAATATTATTTGCAGCAGTTCAAAATAATTGTCATCTGTCACAAATAGTGCACCGGGATCCCCGTGGCACCACGCCACGCCGTAATAGTGTTAAATAATTTCATTTATGACAATAAACATTAATATATTATACTGTTATCGTCCAGAACACTGATCCACCGGCTTACGAGACGGCTGCCAAAGTGAAAATCCTTCAAAAACGGTTACTCGAACAATGCACCAGAGTATTCGACAAGGATTTGCAAGTCCAAGAGATGCAGACTAGGTACGAAAAACTGAAAGACGAATTCATTAAGCTACCAGGCAGAGATATATTCAGAGAGATGAACGATATCAAAAGAACTCTATTAAAAAAAGACGACAAAATGAGGGTAAAGTCGGTTTAAGTGATGCGGTTCAATCATGGTTTAATTATTTTTTACATTAAACAAATGTATTCAGAGCTTATCCGGAGAGTTAATTATCAGTCAACAGACAACAAAAGAGTGCATGTTTGACTTGGAGAGAACGAAGAAAGACTTAAACGAATTTAAAAACAAATATTATGAACTGGTAATCATTTTTAACTCATTATTTAAAAATAAACTGGGGTGTGATTTAAGATTTCAATTTTTTTTTTTGTAACCTTATAGAAAAAATTGCGTTCACGAAAACATGGAAAGTTAGAGTAGTTTAAATATAATTCAAGTGAATATCTGTGGAGTTAAAATACCTAGACAAGTAGTTCTCCTTTTCACAATCAAACTTTTAATCACAAGAAATCCTTTATTTTAACAAATTAATTATTTTTTTAACCTCGTCTGATCAACAAAATAAAGTGTTAGCTTATCATTTTTAAACATAAGCCTCTGTGTTTTGTTTTAATGACATTTTAGACAAAGGGTTTGGTTTTTAAAAAAATAAATACTTATATAAGGAAGTTGTAATTTTATTATGACCTTCCGATTACAATCATTCAGTAGCAACAATTTGATTGAGGGTACTCTTAAGCTACTAATCTTACGTGACAATCCTCGTAAAAATAAATATATAATGAAACTCAAGAATAAGTACAATATCACTTTAGTAAAAGTCGCTGACTTTTATTCAATGGCTTCAAAATATAATACAAATTATAATAGTATGATGAATAATAAAATATATTTAAAGTATTTATTATGTTTAATCTCATGAGGTTTTCTTTAAAAAAATATTGTCGAGTTCGTATTTTTGAATAGACACTGAAGTACATAAAATATAAGTCGTTCTACATAATATTATAATATAGGTACATTGTTTTCTTTAATGTTTCAGAAACGCGTTGTGACAAAAATCAAACTTAAAAACCAAAACTCTGCTGCAGCATTAACTAAACCAGAATCAACTCCTATGAGTTATAGCAATTTTTTAGATATGACTATATAATAAGCACTTCTATTTGAACCTCAATTTTTTTAAATAATAATTATGATAAGTTTTTTACATCGAAAATCAATTTTAGTGTATTATAATAAGCAAGTGTTTTTCTCAACACTTTGTGTTTGCCAAATTATTATAAGCAACTAATTAGACAACTTTTTATTTAACTCGGAAAAATAATTTCCATTACTAAGACTCTAATATTATACTGTGAAATACTTTTTTCAACACTTATTATCAACATCACAAAATCTATATTAAGCTCACATTTATGAAAGTGTAAATCAAGTGCCATGGAGATACTTGATTGGTGGCTTGTTGAAAAGAGGACATCCGTCAACGAAACTTTGGGCAGTAGCAAGTTGAATTATTATTCAATTAAAAATGTATGGCATCAATTGCGTTTAAGACGCCTTAAAGGGTGACTAGAGAAAGTCTATGAAATATAGATACATTTTGAAAACTATGAATTTTTAGCTTCTAGCAGTTACAAAGCTGATTAGTACAATTATTATTATAAACCTACATACTATTGTTCTTCTCTATGTATAACCCTTGAGAATTTTTTTTGTTATTACTTATTAATGTAAACATTAGATCTGTTCAAAATATATTATCACAAGGAGTATAGCCTTTTTTATTAAAAATAAAATAATAAAAATAATATACAAATTATAAATATTAAATTGATAAAAATTGGACAAATCACCAATGCAATGATAATAGTATAATTATAAGATAAACTGTTACATATTATATTATGGTAATTATAACTATCTATAGTTAATATTTTTTTTAATTTTAAACATCTCTATTTCAATTTTCAAATACCATAAGCAACTAATAATTGTACACCTTAAAGTTCTATACACTTGAAAGTTGGGATAGAACCAAAAAATTATCAATATGTTTGAAATAGCTGTATGTTGAGTTATTAACCATAGTTCATACATTTAATATGTATCGTCATTTTTATGGCTTATACGTTCCTAAGAAAGACGCACACTGAGGACATCTGTGGTCAACTTGTTGGAAGGATTTAATAAAGAACGGTAGACATGAACATAATGTACACCTGAAACATACAATTAAAAAGTTGTAAAAGTTTAAAAAACAATTATTTTTAGTAAGTTTAATTATGGTTGCACATATTTAAGTAGTGATAAGATATTAGGTACTTTAACAAGACTTCAGTATTTGATGGAAGTTAAATTATCAAAGAATAATTTATATATGTAACTATACGAGTACCTAAAATTATGGATGGACCCAGGAAGGCCAAAAGACCACTTCTCTTCCACACTAAAACAAACTCACTTATTTACTCGTTTTTTTGGTTATATTAGTTTATGATTGAATAGTTTATATCAATGGGTTTTATTTAAATGGAAATCTACTCAGTTATATTAAAATAACAAAATCGAACCATAGTAATATGGTATGTGTAAGGTGGGTACTTTAAAGTTGAAATATATATGAGGTGTTAGTACACAACTATTTCATTTGTGATATACATGTTTTGAATTCATGGAACCTCGCAGATCATTACAATAGTCAATAGATGTACCTGAGTATGTTCGATATTAATATATTTTTACTTGTTAAATCCAAAATTATATTTAGTTATCAATAAATAATATTATGTTCTAGCATAACCTAATAACGGACTATGTAAAATAACATTAACTTACTAATATTTTCATAAAGTAATATCAAAATACATTAAAAAAAGTGGACATCAGAAGTATGTATATACTATAGTGTTGTGGCAAAATATCTCACAGTCTTTCGTTCTATATAATTTCCAAACAGAGCCACCTCACTTATTGTTAATAGGAACCCTAGGTTAAAATAATATTGTTTATTTTTTTTTTTGTGTTGAGTTCGGATTGCGGTGCTTGTAATATTTTCTTCAAAATTACAATATATCATATTACATAGTAGTCACGATATTACACCAACTGTACAGCATTTTACTTCTCATACAATAGTATAAGACAATACAACTATCGAGTACCAAAGATCTATTAAAGAAATTTGTTAATATAAATACAAAAATTGAAATATGTTTCTTTAAGACAATAATAAGGCCATTATATTATACAGTATAGTGTACAGTACAGCATATTTACAGACAAAAACAAAAACACAATATCGTAAAACAAATAGCTCAATCGGTCTTTTCAGAAACCAAAACTACTTCAAAGAATGAATAAATATATATGTATTACATATTATTCTGCTTTGACAACAACTGAACGCCACTAAACATATTTAGTAAACACTAAGACTGTATTTGCGTTTTAGTTATGTTGTATAATTTTTGTGTTTTTTTTTATGTCTATTATATTTTTATACTTACTTAAGATTGTATTCAGCTCAAATAAAACTTTTAAGTTCTAATAATGTGACTTGTTTAATTCTATTTTTCTCAGCTCTCTTATCATAAACATAAAGTATTAAAATCTTAATTCCAAACAAAGAACACAGAACCTAAGTTTAATATTTATACACAAGATTAAAGATACTTAATTCCGCTTTTAATCAGATATAATAATAAGCTTTTTTTATTATAGTATTTGTAATGTGTTATAACTTTTGATAACTTATTGCTAATTAACTTCAACATGGCTTATCATTTTTTCCAAACACATTAAAATATGACTTAATAAATTAAAATTGATTTCTGGTGTATGAAATAAATATTTTTTTTTATTTAAATATAAAATCACTTTTCTCAAACCAGTCTTCAAAAAAAATCTTTGTATAATAATGCCTGAGAAATTATAAAAATAAAAATATGCGAGAAAAAAATTGATATTACTAACTGTGAATAAGTACTGAATATTATTAAACATAAGTCTAGGTATATTGTGTATAAGCTATTACAAATTACCAAATCTAAAAGTAAAAAATCATTTGTATTCTATAATATTGTTCTGTGTACCTATCTATTTATTTAAATTTTACAATGATATTTTTGAAAATTAGCTGCAAATAATTAAATATGCTGAACTGATTATGAAATTATTAAAATAACAAACTCAACATTCAAATCACTCTCCATGGTCCAGATATTATATAAAAGTGCAATCTTCACACACGCAAGTTGTAGGCAATGTATAATGTAATCAGATTAAAATTGAGTACACGCACTACAGGCATAATATTTAACAAAATATAGTAAGTAACAAAAAAAACTTTAACCAACAATCATACTTACAGAGTCATCAATAGCAACAGTCTAATAATATTACAAGTGTACTGTACATCATTATTCAAAATGTTAAAGCTACAAAACTGAACAAAAAACCTAAAGAGCACTCAAAAAGTCGGACAACTCACAAACTATTACAGAAACATGGTAGTACCCACCCACTTGTTCCATAAATGGCAATACAATATTAATTTTAAACTATAAATTATAATGAAAATAGTTTTGCTACAAACAAGATCACATTGAATACTTGTAAAATATATATTTTATGTCATATCATAGTATGGGTAATAATATACGGAACGTTGGTGCACAAACAAATCTGAATCACTATAAAATAACTGACATTAGAACAAACGAGTTAAATCACATAATATTTTAGTGTATTATTATGTACATACCCTACAATAAATATTAGCATGCAACATAAGAATGCTTCGTTTGACGGCGATTCATCGGTTTCTGTAATTATATAATTGTGGCACGTCGGACAAAACATATGGACTGGTTTTGGACCCAAAGCTAGAAATAATACACACACAATATTATTATTATTATAGCCATCAGTTTTTCATTCGACCGCAAAAATTAATTTTCGAAATCCACATTGGGTATTATAATTATCGTACACGTGCGAGTCCGTTTTTAACTTACTCAATTATGCTATAAAAAGATACTATAATGATACACTCGAATTTCCATTGATTATTTGTTTATGTCATAGAAAATAAAAATATATTAAAAGTCTGTATATTTTGATAAATACAATATAAGTAAAAGTGATTTGACTAAACGTCTAAACATTTGTGACATATTGACTTGATGGAAGTAGGTGTCCCGTATGTCCACCACTTCTTCCATCAAAATCTCCAAACGCATAGGTACGTTTGGCTTATTAAAAAAAGCGTGCAAATAAAATCCTTTTTTTAACAAAGCTTACAGATAGGTACTGACCGTTTTTAATACAGAAATTGTTTGATTTACAGTGTGACAAGCCTAATTAACAAAACAAATTAAATCTTCTGCAAATTAATTTATCGAAAACAGTTTAATAATTTATTTTCAACATTTGAAAGTATTTCCAATACTATTCAGGCTATACACAATGATAATGTATTATTGATAATGTAGGTTCTAATCAATTTTCTTTGTATCAGTTACATTTTAGAAACTCGTAAAACACATACTTGATTCTATTATTATAAACTCGGGTGTAAAATGTTGCTGTTGCGTCAGGTGATCATTAGAGTACATCAAACTTCCTGGATAAATTCCTGGGCCTTCGTCATACGGCGGTGGTGGTGTGCTTACCCTCGGTACGGGTTTTGAATTATTACGATCCATGACAGGTATTTTATGGTAAAAAATGTATAGTTATGTAGGTTTTTTTGAAACACTTAAACGTTTAATAACTATGCATAACACAATTTTTCACATACGACTGACCGTATTAGTAACCTCCTAATGCATTCATCAACTTTTAAGTTGAACACGACGAGTTTTTAAGAACCACAAAACACTCGAGTCTTAAATGGTAATTTTACTGCGAACGACAACTTAAATTCATACTAGCGCACAGTACAGATAAGATAAGCAACTTTATAAACCATGTTCAAAAAAATCACTTGATGACGATAGACAGATGTAGGTAAGCACATGTAAAATAGTACGTTTAAGTACCTATTAAATGAGAATCATTTTCAGCTCATAATAAGCATCGAGAGTATAAAATTATTGATAGTTGCATAGAATTGTTATCGTTTAAATTGAAAACAAAATAACAAGATGAATTAAACTATAATTATGATAACGTAATTAGGTACTTATAAATAACGTGACAAACTCGCCATGACTGCCGAGATCTTTTTTTAATATATCAGGTAGGTATAGTCGTATAGGTATTTTTGAATTCTGAGAGAAGCGAGCAATATGTATACTTATTTTAAAATTATGCATGTTTTGGTCTGAGATATTTTTTGGACTAAAAGAAACGATTCAATTTCCTCGTGTTTACCATATACCTACACTAACGTTTAGCGATTTTGATGGAATATTGTACTTTAGAGTTTAAACAACAGTTAATTAGTAGGCACCTACTAACTACAACTACTAAATAATGTTGGTGGTAGCAACAAATTATACATTAAGAGAAAAAATATTGATTTAATAGATGATTAATGTTATACATCATCAGGTATCAAGTCAAAAACTATATCATTAGAAATCTCCTTTCATAATAAGATGAATTTATACGTAATTTCATAAATATGGAATAACTTAGGTAACACTCTGTACATCCATCAACGTTTAACTGTGTGTATTATAGACTATAGTACCATACTTAGAATACGTGTCTTTTGACTACAAAATTTTGGTAATTTATTTTGTATGTATAGGTAGATATATAGTAGGTACATATGTCAGCTAGTTTCATTAATTTTTAATTTAATAATTATTGAAATAGTGAAACATAACCATTAACCACACTACAGTGAATTGAACCATTTCCAAAAATGTATAATTTATGTTTCACAAAATATATAGTTTAACTACTTAGCATACACAAAACAAAAGTTTTCTGTATTTTATTTTTCTTAACAGTTTTCAAACTTCGAATGAAATGTCCTAAATCATTTAGATAAACTATTGTTGTATTTCTTTATATAAATTCCGTTTGAAATAATTAAGAAAATCTATAGCATAGAAACAATAAAACATTTTCAAAATAAAGTGGTTAAAAAAATGAATTATACACATAAAAAATAATAAAAACCAAATAATTTCTAGTTAGTATAATGATTGAATGATTAGTTTTCAAAAATATTAACTTAATGTAAAACTATTATTTTAAAATAATATGCATTTATAATAATTAAGAACCTATTATTTTATGACACACCTCTAACGCTTAGGTAAATGAGTATTTTAATTTGAACAGAATATTGAATTATCTGTTATTTATTGAAGAGATGTACACGTCATCGGTGACACAAAATATAATTAATATATTATATTGTTTTAGACTTTTGATATCTGTGACTGAAACCACCAGAATAATTGAAAATCAATCAAACACAAATAGTCCGTCATAATAATTAGTTATTGGATATGCAGTGGATTCCGCAGTTAAACTTGGGGACTACTATAGTTCTGTTTGTCCACATTTTCGATTCTGAGCAGAACGATGAACGTATTGATTTTACAATAATGTGCGTTTTTTTATTTTTGTGTCTATCATCAGAAGAAAAAAAGTATAATAGGCACATGACATTTTTGATTATTATTTGTTTTTTTTTTAAACTAATGTCGGTAAAATATTTTTTGCTGGGTCAAAAAATATGTATAATATGTAATACAAGGTTCCTCATAAGTTGTTGGTAGAAATTAAAAAAATTTGAACGTTAATCCACAATAATATTTTATAAGCGTTTGTATCTAGAATCCTGACAAAATTCGTAAAAATCACGAAAATTAGAAAATTATTCTGAGTTAGAAATTCATTAAAATTTTTCTTTTTATATCGAAGATTCATAATTGTATACAAGACTCCTTATAAGTTTGTTTACTTTTACATTATCTTTACAGCATCAGGATTTCGGTAGAGCGTTTTTTTTTTTATTGATTTCATAAACATAATATTTAGGATTTGATATTAGACCTTCAAATAAAGTACAGCTCAAATTTTTCTAACATGAAAAATTTAAAAGTATAATTTAATTTATAATGAATAATTAGTATTTATTTATTATTTATAAAAATTATTATTAGAACTTTTAAAAATATATATATATATTTGACTTTATTATGAAAAATTACAATCTATACAGCGAGTACAATAAGTAATATAAATATTTTACAGATAGTTTACAGGTTAAATTATATACATGAAGGAGAAATCACACATTTGTGACGCCCCTCATTATTAGAACTACAAATAAAATATAACTGTCAAGAGGGGTAGGCCCCCCGCCCCTCTCGAATCCGACACTGGAGGATGTAGTTATCTATACTGTAAATGAAAAATAATATATTAAATACCATTACATACCGACACCCTTTATATCTTATTAGATACCCACACTTAAACAAATACGCATTACGCCATTTTGCTTAAAAATGTCTGAAGGGAATCTATATGAACCTATATACAGGATGTACCTACAACACGCGTGTTTGGGCACAAATTCGTATTACCAGTAAAGTAGTCTTTACGAGGTGGGGGGGGGGGGGTCCAAAAGTACTGGTTTTCGTATACCGTGGTGAGTTGTTAATTGACTATTTAATTATTTTTTTCAACGTCTCTCCGACCTTAAAAAGTTAAGACTCGAGCCACAGGAAAAGTGTGTCCAAGTCCAACTGTTGGGTGGATTTTTGATAGGTACTGAATAGGTAAAAATGCGCAATCGTATTGCACCGACCACGATACATCTTTTTTGCAGAGTTTATGATATAATCTCCATATTATACGAAAACAAATACTGGAATTCGGGTGAATTTATATGGATACATCTCTCGAATTTTCGACATAGTGTGACAGTATCTTTCTTTTAATTTTATATCGCAATGAGATCATTAACCTCAATTTAAACGACTATAACAATTAAAGGTTTTTGACATATTAATGTCACCTTTGATTATTTTCCATAAATCGAGAGAACCATTTTAAGCGTACGAGAGCGATTAATAAGATAACTTTGTCATCGAAAAAAATGGCAGTATTTTGTGTTATGGGCTCATTAGAGGCATACAATATTTAGCACAGGATATAAGCCACGGAACACAACCATGATGAACTAAAAATCTAACTCAAACTAAAATTCATGATTTCCAAAATACAGCACTCTCGACAAAAAAACTTGAACCTTCACAATTCACAGAGGCCTTAAAAATTAAATCAATCAAGAAAAGAGCACTATTTTATAAATAGGTTTTTTTAAGATTTTTCTAAACTAGAAAACCATTACAGTCCATTCATAAATGACTTAAGTACCTAACCCTTCATTTTCCTAAAATTTTCATCGCAGATTCTTAAGAATAATGTCCCGTTTGATTTAATTATCTTTTTACATTATTAATCTCAAACCAAGTATCATTGATGAGCTTCTTGAATACGTAACCTTAATACATGTTTTCCTTCCCCCTTTATCACGTAGGTACACTGGTTTTGATAAACCTACCTTTTTTTGTGAATTATATTCTTACAAAATTAAAAAATAATAACCGTGATTTGTATGTTTTCATGTCCAGCGAAATTATTGCTCGTTCGATTTTCTTATGTAGCCAGAAATCACAATGATTTGTATAAGAAAATTTAGTAACAGCGTTACACGTCTTATTATATCCTTATTATTATTATTATTATTATTGCATGATATTTATCGAAACCAATTTAAATAGGTCAATGGCTTCTCTTTACATTGTATCAAAGAAGTTTTTTTCATTATGGCAGCGATTTTCTTTTTTCTGCTATGTCGATCTTATCAAACACTTCTGCTGAAACTGAAGTATTTTTCATTGTTACTCTCTCATTTCTCTCAAGATTGGTTTATTAATATTGTTGTTCTCTCTAATAACGATAAATGATGAATTTATCGATTACGCATGAGGTACCTGAAACAAAGATTTTTAAAGGTTTGGACAAATATATTTTCAATATTCCTTATTATATTATAGATGGCTTATCCTCCAAAAATCCCTCTATATAATTAATGTATTAAATTTACAAATACATGTTTTAATTTTAAAATAACGTTTTCTTACAGCTATTGCCTATTAGGTCATTAAAAAATACCAATTATTGAACCTGTTTCTTCGTATTTAGTTTATGATTGGAATACTGATTAGTGATTACCAATTTATTACCTTTAAAGACATAATAATATTTGATCGTGTCATTTTATGCATGATTATTCAATATTATTACATTAAACATCAATGCGTTAACATTATATTAACATTATTGTACCTATACTCTATAGATATTACACTCTATAATAATATAGTAATTATTTTGTATGATCGTTCCTTCGTTAAATAGGGAACAAGATTATAAATTGTTTTTCCATCCAATAATAATTAGTATCCGTATTCCGTTGAAATTGATTTAAGTTTACAGTAGCTTATAAAATATTTAGATGTATAATTAAATTCATTAGCACCTCTAGATTTAATGGTAATAATCACGTCATTATTTTTATTAATTACAAAAACAATTTTTATTTTTTTTATTTATTTAAATTTCCAACGCCTCCAGGGCTAAGAGTATAACAAGTACAGCAATGTTTAAGTGCAATATGATAATAATATAAAAGGCAAAGAATACATTTTAGAGATACAATTTGCATAACAAAAAATGTAAATAATTGAAAAATAAATCAACAAAAGACAAATTATTAATACACAAAAAAGCGCCATCAAGAGGATCATAGCGAACCCAGTATTAGTTGAGTAGAATTTAATATTAAAAGTAGATTGGTGCCCTGTATTAAAAGAAAGGATGGATAAATGTAGAATAACAAATCAGGAGAGTCAACTAACCCATACAATAATTTGTAGACAAACGAGATGTCAAATTCTCTTTATTTATTTATTCTCTCTA